ACTGTTTCTATGGGGAAAATCACCCAATGCCTACAAAATCAAGTTCAAGAACAGTACCTTTATATACACAAGTTGTGTTCCTTGATGTACTACAGAAGTTTAGTGCACTATCACCAAGTAACAAGGTGAAATCAGGTAGAACTAGATAAAACAGTTAATCATCTGAGAGGTGATGTAGTGTTTGTGTTTGTCTGTACTTATGTACATTCAGCTGTTCAGCTACTTGCTAGAATTGGAATGGCCAGTGAAGTAGTGAGTAATTTACGCTAGCAATACCACTATGGTTACTTGTTTTGTGTCATGTCTAAAATTGAATACATGGTTGCCAGCATGTACAAGCAATCTAGATTTAATACAGTGAATATGTGGTGGAATATGTGTTATGTTTGAAGGAACAGATGACTGATTGGGGTTGGATGACTGTAACTCACCGTTACATAGATACATATGACATATGTCTAATAAAACAATCACCAGCAAAGGTGGTCATCTCCAGTAGTGATTGTCAGGAACAAGATGGGCTCATCTAGGTTCTCTATTGATTTTAGATGGGTTAATGTAGTGACCTGCATTATTGTCTTTTTCTCTCGTATGAACAGATGAATGTCTGGAAACACTGGAAGGTGCTCATTGATTCAGCACTTTACACCTGATATCTGGATACTGACAAGTTGAGTTGGATGGCAAAACAGAACTGATACTGCTTTTAACATTTGAGATGGCTCTGAAACATGGCACTTAGCTTTCATAATGCACCCACCCTTTATAAGCAGCTAAAAGAGCTTATCCTAAGACAGCTGCAATTGAATCGGTGCCTGTTCTTTCTTGATGATGAATTGGTGCTTGACCACATGTTTCAGCCGGCTTCTTAGAACCTAAGCATGGTGCTTCAGACAGGTTTGAAATCGAAATCACATAAGTGGAGCTCCTTGGTAACACACTGAATAGAGATGGAATCTATACAGAACCTGCACAAATTGAAGCAGAGTAAGTTTGGCCTCAATCCACAATCAAATCAAAGACCTGCAGTTTCTTTGTTTTCTGCATCATTCTACCAATGATTTGTGGACAATTTTACCAAAATTGCTGCACCAAAATCTGCTTTAACTAAACCTAATTTACAATCTAGATGAACTGAAGACAGCAATCAAACATTTCAGTCAGTAAAATGTGGTTTAGTTGAAGCTCTAGTGTTCATGTACCCACAAGAAAATTGTCAATACCTAATAGATACCAGCAAAAGTTGAATTGATGAGGTATTTTCGCAGTTGTAGGAAGGAATGGAAAATGTAATTGCATATGTTGGTCATACACTGATGAATACTGAATTCAAATACTGCATGGGAAAGAAAGAAAGAACTGCTTAAAGTAATAGTATTTGTCATGTATTACCATTTGCATTAGCCATGTATCATCAAAATGGTTCACATAATTTTAAAATCCAGAAGGGATAATTACCTATTGAATCACAACATTACAGAAGTACAGATTTGAGATACATCATCACTCAGGCCTACAAAACAGAAATACTGATGAATTATCTTGCTGCAAAGTGAGAGCCTGTCCATTCATTGCATGTCTTGATCATGGACACCATATAGGAATTAAGGCTATTTCTTCAACTGTTATGTTGTATGAATCAAGAGGAGATTCCATTAGTGATTAGATACCATAATGAATACATTAGGACCTCTGGTAAAAGCAACTAAAGGACCAAGGTCAAGTATTGATGTTCTGGTCTTGCAACAAAGTGGAGTGTGGCCAACACAGATTGAGAAAAGTAATTTGGATGTACATAACCTGTGGCTCTAGTATGAGCAGTTAAAATTGCTTAAGTTGTACTTTACCCATGTTGCAGATGGTGATCCCCAGAGTTTTCAGACAGGAAATACATCAGAATTTACATAATGTATGGACTGGAAGCCACCAAGGTGTTAATCATACCTGTACTAACATATTATGGCAGTTCTAGTGGCTGTATTTGAATTGAAACATTAAACAGTTGTGTAAAAATCATAAGATATATAAGATATTATACAGAGGAAAAAGTAGCTGAGAATTGATTGTTATCCATTACAGAAAACAGATCTAGGTATTGCTTGTCTTCTCTGAGAGACTAAACAATGTAACTGGCATGTATAATTGATACTTGAAACCATCGGTACATGGTGAAACTCCATAATTACAGATGCCCGATGATGCCTTTACTGGCAAAACCATAGTCGTGAATAACAGAAATTTTTGTTAACATACAATTGTCTTTGTTTTTTTACTTCAATTCTGTAACTGGTATGTACTGATCATTAGCAAGTGCCTTCACTTCTGCATTGACCACTACATTAACATTTTCTATTGATAATGTTATCACTGTAGCACTGGATAAAACAATTTATATTATCTGAAAAAAATGGACCATGGGTCTAATTTCAACAATCAGCTCTTTCCTACGTTGTGTAAAGTGTTGCATTTCATCTTATCTCCCCCTCCAGTTTGATGGCTTAGCACAGAGGATCATACAAACTGAATGTTTGTGAAATTTGTTAATCCTAATGTAACTGACTGTGACAAACATTTGCTATAAGTCATGATGGCACACCAGACAACTAAACAGAGGTTGAAAAGTTTCTCAAAGATGCTAACAGTTGGTTAAAAAATACAGCTTCCAGTGAACATGGTGTATGGTTTGATTCTAGAGCAACTGTGTCACAATAATGTCTGCAAGAATACAGGGAGTGGTTAAGATCTGCATTAGTTGATGCACATGAATTTGTGCATGAACAGCTAGAAAAGGTTGCTATGTGGTACTGCAATAAGACAAATAAGGAATGAACATTCAAGTGTTGAGACTGTGTATGGTTTTGGTACATGCCAGTGGTACAGAAGTTGTTTGGTTCTGACTAGATGAGTCCTTATTCTGTTCTCTAGAAATTTGAGACAACTGAGTCAGATGATAGTGAGAGTATCGTTTTATACCATTTTGATGCAGTTAATGAAAAAGATGTTGGAAAGACTTAATCGGCTGTCCTAGAGAAGTCAGAAGAGGAAGTGCCAGTAGAAAATCTGTGTTACAGCTCTGATGATCAGCCAAGATTCAACTTAGCAGAGTATAACTGCCAGACCACCAATTAAATTGGTCATTCGATTGAAAAAGACCAATAGAAAATGGCATTCTTTATCTTCTGATTGGGCTGTACCAATATATTGATACCTATTGGGATCAATTTCCAATATGCTCTTTCTCCTCTCCTATCATTTCAATATTGCTTTTATTGTCTATGTAACTGATACTGTTATTATAATGTTACTTTACATCCTTTGGTAATCATTTACAACCACACATCATTAAACAATATTTTTTCAGCTTATCATTGTCATAGTGGTCTTTAAACAACAACATTATGATACACATCCACATTGCACATTCTCATGTTAGCAGATCCTGCAGGAGTGATAAGTAGGGAACAATATCTTGTAAGTACAAGATATGTTAGTTCCTAAATTGAAAAAACCTGAAAAATGCAGTTGATAAAATAAATAAAGTAGAATTTTAGAGATTATTCATCTTTAACATTCTTTTATCTTATTTCTTTTGTGGAAGTTTAAGCAAACACTATTTTTGAAGCCATAAACAAGCCTGTTGGTTAATGAGAAACTACATTCGGATGTTCTGAATGGAATACAATACATGAGAAAATAATACCAATACACGAAAAAAAAACACTTAACCAACATAGGAAAAAATAACAAAATTAATGAAAAACATGAGCTATTGATTAAAAACAAATATGTAATTAAAATATTATTAAGAAAAGATATCTAAACCACTGAGGTAATATGAAGTTTATAAAACATTAACAAACTAAAGAAGAAAAATGATAAAGGAGAAAAATTATAAAAAGCTAACTGTTCATTAATATCAGAAAGGCTTGTACAAACTAATCTAAAAATTACTTATTTTGCAATTCTGATTGTTTAATTGGTGTTTGAGGAGGCATGTTATAGGACAATTACTCTTAAATGCTCAAAGGATGAACCATCTTTGACAAAATGCCAAGTTACAAGCTTATCTTGATTCTCAACTAAAATTCTACAATGGTGTTCTTGTGTGTTCAGTGAGCATGTGACTGGTTTCTACTATTTACCTTTATATCATCAAATGATGTTCCATGACAGAATGTATGCACTACAGCATGTGATACCCACTTTTTCACACATTACAGCTCATGTTGTTAGTTGTAATACCTAGAAAACTTACTGCTGGCAGAACTGTAAGTGACGGCTAGGTTTTTAATACATCCGAAGGCTGAAAGAATATTGGTATTCTTGCTTTCTGAGCACTCGGAATATTCAAAGAATGTTTTTAGTGAAAATCCACATGAATTTATATGTATGTATGTATGAGTGAAATTTATAATAGCCTGTATACACATTGTGGTTAGCAATGAAAACATAGCTGAGTTGTGTTCACATTGTGGTTTTTAATAAGTTATAACAGTTTCTGATGTCTTCATTTGTGTATTCTATGTACTGAAATAATCTTTGTATTTTACTCATTTACAAATGCAAATTCATACAATTAAACCTTGGGAACTTCTTCCTTAAAGAGCATGGATGTAATACACAAATACAGCACATCCAGTTGGTCTTATCCACATTCAAAACTTGACTAACAGGCTTTTAAATCTATATCAAAGCTGCCATCAAGTCAATTAAACATCTTATGATGTGAGATACAAGAGATAAAAAGTCTCCTATCTTTGTATTTATACAGACTGAAAATGGATAATGAAATTAGATGTTAACAGGATGTTAAGTTGTACAGTTTTAATTTAATGAATTTTGTCTGCATCTTGTATGATTCATACAATTTTGAAATATGTCTTACATATATACTTGACATACACATACTTAGAACCTTTATTTCAAAAAGTAATCAGAAATGTGTGTGTTAATTGTAAAAAAAACTACTTATTAGCCACATGTAAAAAACTACAACATACCTTTGTTATAGATGATACTTTCAGGTGACTCCAAATCAAAGTTGGAAATTAATCTTGCACTGGATTTTCCCTTTGTCTTTTTATGATATGCATGTCTTTTTTTGGAATGCAAGTTTTGTGAAGACTGTTTTCTTTCAAATGCCAGTTGTTTCAATTCTTTGAAACAGAGCTTTTCTAGAAGATGATAATAAATTAAAGATTCGTTGATTAATGCATACTGAATTGCAGACAAGATATAGACTTTTCTAGTGAATATAATGTTTGCTATAGCATGATAAATTTTTCATTGTTTAATGAAAACTTCCAAAAACTGTTTCTTCAATTTCCTCTTTCTAATATACCACAAATAAGATATATAAAAAAAAATATAGAAACTCAACTAGGAATATATTTTTTTTTAAATATTCCACATATCCTATAGTTTTTGCATGACCAGTAAATGTAAGTATAGATGTGTGTAAATAGTAAGTGATAATGGAACATATGAGACAACTAATAAGTTAGTTTTCTTCCCTGGCCTTTAATCACACAAAACAAAGGAATAGATTGTTCTATCATGTACATTATAAGCCAGAAATATGGTTTTAAAGAAGGAAGATAATAAAGCAATGCTGTTTGTCTTTACTTTCTGTGCCTTAGCTGCTGCTGCTGACAATGTCTTTACCGAAGATCAACACTAGAGATTATTAAGATAAAAAAAACTTTAGACTAACAGATTAAGATAGATATAACTTTATCACCTCATATATTTACATTACAACTTACAAAATCTACAAGTATGCCTTTTGCTACCAAATTAGCCACTTTTATTTGATACACTTCTGTATTTAGTTTGTTTATTTTGAAAAGAACAGTAATCTGTAACATATTATGATTTCCATTGCATCTGTGTATTTCTCAGACATAACAAAAATATATTATACTGCTCATAATATAAATTACAGAGGATGCAAATGTCTTTTATTTCATATTCATTTTAAAGGTTTAATGCCATTGTTACAATGTGACTTATAAAATGCATTTTGTAGTCAAACACCTTTTCACTATTTCATAAGTTTTTTTTATAAATGCCATTACATATTTGGAAAACATTCAAGAACATTAAAATAACTTGTCTTGAAATTCATCTAAAATATTAATCACTGCTTTTATGTGTTACATTGAACTAGGTCAGTTTGTTTTTTTCGTGGTGTTAAGCACAAAGCCTTAAAATGGGCTGTCTGTACTGTGCCCACCATGTGTATGAAAACCCAGCTTTTAGAATTATAAGCCTTCAGACTTACTGCTGAGCCACTAGGGGGTAACTAGGTCAGTAATTACGTAAATCTCTAATTTCAAATGCTATAATATCCAGTTCAACAAAAACATTTAACAAAGTAAATATTCTGGCTTCACCCAACACTGAAACATTTGAAGCAAGAAAATCTAGTGTTGCTTCCCTATGTCACAGTATTCATAGTTTTATCTTTAGTAAAATGATATAGTTTTTAGATTAAGTCATTAACAAATCTACTGGTAGAATGGCTGTTCCATCACAATCATCCCAAAAAGGGTCATTTTTTCAATGTATTTAAGAATATACATAATTAATTCGGAAAACTCTTTATTCCCTTTTAAAACAAATATCTTATAGTTATCAAAATTGCAAGGTATTGATAAAAGCATTGCTGAATTTACAAATGGAAGCTTTTAATGAGCCAATTAATCAGACATTTTTTTTTAAGTTAAGAATAACCACTGAAGATTGTCAGATATTATGTATGGGTTGGATTCTTTACAGTAGGTGTCTGAGACATGTTGGCAATAAATTTCAACAAAAACAAACAGCACACAGTCCACTTGTTTTAAAATAATATATGAAAACAAGTCAAATGTTCGTTACACTGTTGGTTACAACAGTAGTATCCAAAGCTTTAAAAAATTGTTGCTTTTTCATCAAAGTCCATACAGGCTGGTTCAGGTACTTTAGAACAGAATTGAAAAGACAAATTATTCTTCTCTATCCTTTCATCACAATACAATCTGTGATAATTTCACTTTAAAAATTATCACAATATGCTCTTTATGCCTAAAATCACAATCACACAGTCTAGATCTAACTATCTATATCTAACTCACTTGAACTATATTTTGTACCTGTATTTATAGCCTGACTGAGGCCTAGAACTAAGAGATATTATGATGCAATAATACTCAATCAGAACAATGAGAAAAACTTAGAAGGTTCTAGTAACATGAAGCAATAACACAATAAGTGCCAATTCACAACAACTGAACTACACAATGTATTGTAACAAATTTCTTGTTATGTATTTATTTTAATATGAACATTGTTAAGATTGAGTTTATATTTAAAAACATGCATAGCTTGTAGTGTTAGCTTTGTGTTGCGCAACTCCCGCCTATTCTCCAAAGTTGTAGAAGATTGTCGAGAGTAAGAATCAACAATATATCTATATACGTAAATGCTTTAACCAGTATTGTTACGTAAGACTGAAGTTTCTAGAAAATGTTCCCACACTATAAATATAACTAACACGACATGCCAGGAGAGTGTCTATTATTAGTTGCTATAGTCAGTGTACTATAAAACTTCGAAAGCTATATCTGTGATTTTTATAACACTTATCAATGGGAAAACTTAAGATATCTGACCAGGAATATTTATAAATTTCAAATGTTACAAATCATTTAACTTCAGTGGATTCTCATTGGACATTAGTATTTTTATGAAAACATAACCTAACTTCAATGGTAGAAAAATCGTCGTGTGATCAGTGAGAGACAAAGCTAGTTAGCTTCCCGTTAAGTGAAAATATATCTCTGTCAACTTGTAATTAACTCGCTCATTGTGAACCCTTGATAAGATATCAAGGAGGTTCCAGACTAGAAAGAAGACTTTATATTGTTTGTAAGTTTGTGAAACTTCTGTTTATAAATCATTGTTTGTAGTAACTATTTGTAATAATTGTTATTGTAAATTGTACTGTTGTGTGTATATTAAAACGTATTTGTGTTAAAAAGAAAACTGTTTATCAATTTTGTTGGCAAATGTCATAAACTGACTATATATCGGCATATATTTAAATAATAAATCCAAAGTACAATTCAACAACACAATTTCAATTATCATTTAACTCAATTTATAATAAATAACATATTTACTACGTGGCCTCTTAGAATTTTTATTACAATGGTATTGATGACAATATCCTACTTCTCAGTGAACTATATCATCGATTAATTACATTCAGTTCACGCATGTGTTGTTGAGTATTTAGTACGAAATAGGGATATTTCTTTTAACTGATAGTAATGGTAGCACTATTGTTTAGTTCTTCCATCTCTAAAATGCTGAAATGATAAAAAATATTTGAATATATTTTCCTTTGACCAGGAATAGCTAAATAGGTGACGATAAAAAAAGAAATTCTTGGTAATGGCATTTGCCAAAAGCTTTGTGGGATATTTCAGGAAAAGTATGTGGATTACGAGTTGGTACAGTTATTGTGTTCACATGATATTTTATGTCAGTATATTTGTTTCATCTACCTCATATAGAATTATGCTTGTCTATGGCACGTAGCATAGAAAAGCAGTGATAAATATTTACAATCATTTACTTAGATTGACAGGAGTGGCCGAAATACATATCTACAAAAGAATTGACGATTCAAATTACCAGTAAATATTTACACCCTCATGACATTTACTATTTTTAGCAAGCTGATGTACAAATTACAAACTGCCTCCATAAGTTTAACGCAGAGTATCAGAGTAACTTCTTATGACCTGTGGTCTACTCATAAACCATCAGTGAGAGATTCCTATATGAACCACCTAACGCCCACTATTATCCCCGGCCACCTATTTTCCTTAGACCAATTTGGTATGTATTAACATGATCGAAGAAAGTCTATCCCATCTCAAATATCTATTGAATGTCAAAGGCACAAACTTATTATGCATATGTTATTAATCAATAGTACATAATTACTATACTTCAGAGAAAAATTGCATCTGATTATTCGTTGTGAAAAGTGTTATAATGACACGTCACTGTAAACTCCTAGTTGGATAAATTTAGGATTAGTAAAATCGGAAACATCAAGTAAAGCACAAATACTACTACAGCTGGTTTTTTATATACTATTTTTTGAAATAAATAATCATGTTTAGAGCAAGCTCTTCAATGTTCGGAAAAACACAAATACCACAATATTTAATATTGATATTCGTCAACATTGGATTTCTAACACTGTATGTCAAATTGGCCCAGTGATTACAGTGCTAAACTCTTATTTAGAAGTCTCACGTTCAAATTCTAATTCGACTTTAGTTGTTTTTTTCAAGCTCTTTCAATACCATTATAGATTAAATCAGGGATTTGAGATATTGGTTAAAATTTGAATTAAAAGATGGCATGTTTACAGCATCAAGCCACCTCAGCTTGCCATTTCAATTGAACACTTCTAGCACCATCTATGAAAACAATTCTAAACTAAAAATACTTCAGAAAAGTGCAAAAAAGAAAATGTTGCTTAGCAAGAGAGAAAACAAAAGTAGATGGGTGTCTCGAAAAAGTCAAGAAATCTTAGTAAAAATTAGAATAACTGAAGCAGAGAGGAAACAAATGACAAAGTCAAATAAAGCTCCTAAAGATACAAAGCTCAGAAGATAAATTGATGCTGAAAGGCATGCAAAGATGTTCTGGTCTTGAACATGCATTGAAGGGGAAAATCAGCTGGTCTGTTCATAATAGAGAAAATTACACGAAATATATATAGAATGAATTTAATGACAATTTCTAAACAGTTTTATGCTTTATTAACATATACATTCAAATGCAAGTGCACAAAAATATGTTTATGTGAAATATAAGTTTCAATAAACACAAGATATATATAATATACACACACTATTGATATATATTACATGACATACAAAGTGATTACGAGATAAAATATGCGTTAGTGTGTGTTATTATTAAGTGTAATTTCTATCACTGTAATTATAATAGTGATATCAGATTTGTAATATTTTGTACATTAATAAAATATGACTGTATTAGCTATTCAAGAGCATAAACACACTGTTCACTAATCATTGAATTTATCGTTAACAAGTCACAGACACCTACTGTAGAAGAATCCTAAGCCCAACAACAACATAGT